AAAATTACTTTGCACACGGACTATTCAAAACAAATCATATATTCATGCACAAATCTTTATTCTATTTTATTAAAAATACTACACTAAGAAATATAATTTTTGTATGTGAAAGACTTGTAATATTAACTGGAAGACTGCCAAATTTCATGAAGATATACCCAATACATTGAGAGTTATAAGTATTAAATTTATATCAACTTTAAACGAGTACAAAAGGTCACGTGACTCGGTCAAATTGACCGACCACCGTGCAGAGAACCTATTGAAATTTTGTGTTGTAAATGTAAATTAAATAATCATTTGTTAAATAGAGCTGAAGGGCTGGCTGGTGATACTGCTGAATTTTGGAGGGAAATATTGACTTCATACGTGCAGTATTCATGTCACCCCGGTGAATTACATAGTCCAACCATTCTTATATAAAAACCCGCTATTCAAGTAGATTTTCGCTCCTTATGGTAACTGAAGCTATAAATTTTTATTGTGTAATGTGAACGTTGTTTTGAAATAAAGTATAAATTGCGTCTCTGAAAACAAAATTTCACAAAAGTATGAAATAACTTTATAGGCATTTGTTTTTCGTTTATCATTATGAATAAATAAACGGCGTAAAAAACACCTAAAACACTTGTATATACGTTGAATATATTTATAGTCAATTCGTTTGACGTAGATCTGAACTTTCATTATCAAAGTTCATTGCCAATGCAGTTTATTAATACAGTACAGTTTGAAATGTTATAACTGATATAGTATATATAGTATTGATATAGATATAAATTCTCTCTTTTTTCTTTTTTACGATGTAATATTTTTTCCATTGCTTAATAAAGTGAGGTTGTAGAACAGTGTGAATTCAGTGTCTAAAATTGACCATTGTTTTGTAAGAAGTGAAGAAGAAATATTCTAAGTTTCCAAATAAATTAAAAGTAATCTTTCTTTGGATAAAGATCTAGAATATGTTAAATTCAAACAAGGTAATATTTTAATTTAAAAATATAATTACAACTAAGCCTTTTGTTGAACTGTGCCTTGAATCAAGTAAGATGGTCAAAATCAATGTCAATGTTTAAATTAAAAACACTTACATTAATAAAAATAATTCCAAGGAAGTAAAAAAAGATTGTAACTGCTTGCTACTCACAAATTGTTATAAATAATAGTATTATTTTATTCGTGATGTTAGAAAAACACGTTGGTTCAAGAAGTCTTGATAGAAATGAATAAAAACCCTATAACCAGAGCGCTTTTGAAAGGTGGACCTTTCTTCTTCAGGGGGCAATGTGAAGAAGAAAGGTCCACCTTTCGAAAGCGCTCGGGTTATAGGGTTTTTATTCAGTTTTATTTTATTTGCAGCCAAAAACGTCTCGGGATTCCATGCTGTCCAGATGAACGAAACGGACCAGGCAAGGGTGTGTTTCAACTTCACTATTGGTATTTCAGAGAGAAAGGAATTCTATTCACCTAATTACCCACGAAAGTATCCTAATAACACCATCTGTATTAAAGAAATAACAGGTGAATGTTTCTGGTATGGTATTCAAGATAACTTCTAAGAGAAGGTTGGATACGACGACCACTTTAACTATGAATATGATTTTCACCAATTAAGATGAATGTCACGAAAAAGCAAAATGTTTTGAAATGAGCCATTTTTATTACAAATGTCATGTCTAATTAAAATAAGGAATGGGCATATATTTCTTAGATAATAATAAAATGCATTTCTTGTGGTTGGGGGCTGTTTTATCTATGAAGTGGATAAGGCGGTTCGACAATATGGGCTAAAATGGTTCCATCTAGCTCATAACAGATGCAATTTAACACCTACCACACGATCTAGCTCGGCAGATTGATGTGGATAAAAAAAAGTAATTCCGGAAAGTTTGGGTTGTTTTGATTAGACAATAAGAAGACGTTTGGCACTATTTTGCCGGTGTATTTTACTGCCAGCAAAGGAATGCGGAAATTCATTACTTCATTTTTGCATGTACAGAAATTAGATTATGAGAATATTAAAAAAGCAACCATTATCATGTCAAAAAAACCTTGAACACGAAAATTACGTCATCAAATATGTACTGGTGCAAACATAAATAATAGTTTACGTATATCTGATAACCTTTTTTCCCAGCAACTTATTTAATTACTTTATTATTCAATTTTATTTTTGGTCAGGTTTAGTGCGATAATTTATTAGTTCACTGTAATTTTTGAGAATAAAGTCGTTCACTGTTCTAAAAATGTTTTATTTTGAGAACATAATTATTTGTCGACATTAAAATTCACCGGCAGTAAAATGTCGTGATATCAGGTCGCTGGACCAGACCCGCGACCATGAGAGGCAACATGGAGAAGTTAACTTGTAAATGTAAAGTAAAACAATGTTTGAAATGTTCTAGATGTGGTTATGAATGTCATAGTTTAAGTGTAGCGATTATGCTAAACCGTGGGTCCAGGTCGGATGAGGGAAGAATTTATTCGAAAATATTCCAATCGATTTGACATACCAGCTGAATTGGAGATTCGTCAATTGATTACTGCACTGACAGGAAACAAAAAACAACCAAAAACGGGCACAACAGTATCATTATTTTCAAAAAGGGATATTGGGATCATATAAATCATCAGTTTCAATATTTTGTGAAGCTAACGCCGCAGTAAAACCCAAAGATATAGTGTTGGAGTTGAAGCAAATACGTGATGCATTACAAAATGATTTCCCTAGCGATTCTCAAATCAAAAATGTCATTTCTGCAATGAGGAGTAAGTATAAAAAGAATGGTATAATTCCCAGTATGGTCCCACCATAGTATAATCGATATGGATTTCATCATGTCATATTTTCATTAATATGTAGTTTTTAATTTCGTTTTAGTTGTGCCGAGCTTCATTCATTGAGATCTGTCGAAATAACCCTAAATCACCGGTTTCGGGAATGACCTCCTTGTTGAATATTGTAGGTCAGTACTAAAAGTTGCTGGCGATGGCTGGTGTGGCAAGTGTTTAAATAAATGTTGTATTCAACTACTGCATATAAATACTTCCGGCATGGATCGGGAAGGCCGTGCAACATCCGTAAATTGCGAATTATCTGGGACAATCATTCAAGACAACGTGGGTACCAGTGAGGGATAAGATGTCCCTGACGTTGAGCCATGTTATTCTAGGCCGCTCATAGTAAAACCATCGCGCGTTATAAAACACTGTTTCTTTTACAGCATATTCCGCTACTTGTAATTCATCATTATTTGAAATCAACAAAGTGAAACTCCCTAAAATGCATATTTTGGAAAAAAATTAAAAGCATTCACATTTCTTCAGAGTTCATGAAAAATAAAAAAGATTGAAGTAACGCTATGATTATTCAATTCTCACCCATCTACGAATCTGTTTATGCAGGGGGTCACTTGAACTATAGATACCAACACGTCATAACTAATGACATACAGGGGTGGCCGTTTTACCTCACTTCCCCTATAGGAGTAAGTTAGATTGCTAAAAATTGCATCAAATATAAATAAGCTAACTTGTTTACCCGTGACTATCAAACACTATTTCGAATAGGAAATCAATGTAGCCGCATAAATTGCTCACAAATAGATTAACTTTAAATATAAAGATTGTGATATACACTTTTATTTTGTACAAGCTAAAAATATATATTACGTAACGCACGTTTTATTTTTGTATGTTAGTTCTGACTTAAATAAATGGTCAGGTGTACAGAATGTGATATGTTCAGCATTAATAAGCTTTATGTCTCTTCTCTAACTTCACCCAGTGGGACAGTGGTAAGTCTACGGACTTAGAACGGCAAAATTAGGGATTTGCTCAAATCAACCAACCAAATAACTTTTCTCTATCAATGATTACCTTTAGGCAAGAAACATTGTTTGAAAACTATTAATTAAGGTTTTCGAAGTACTTATGACATTATGTACAGAAACTTTGAGAGTAATGTGGATCAGACATCAAGAGGTTGCTTTAGAATAATATTACAGCTGGCGTATCAAGAGATGTACTTCGTAGCAAATGAACCAAATATCAAACAACCTAGGATCATCGCCTTTCAGGTACAAAGAAAAACGAACCTTTCTGTAACTTCCCCCATAATTTATGTAAAGTAATATAAATCTTGGTTTCAAACTTTTTATTATTATTAAATAATAAACTTCCCAATTTTGATGTTGTAACGTATTCTATCATTTGGCGGATTCTTTTAGATTATTTAGTATAAATTATGCGAGTTCCATGTAACAATAACAAATTAGTTTATTTCTTCCTTAACGTTTGCTACAGACTACTAATTATTAGGTCGTCAAAAAATTAATTTCGTTTTTTTTTAGATGAAAAACCCGAAAAACATACATCGAAACAAAACATTTATTAATTGAAATAGTCTCCATTCTTATCGATGATGCTTTTCCATCTTACAATCAGGTTG